AGTTAGCAGAAGGAAAGAAATCATAAAAATCAGATCAGAAATAAATGAAAAAGAAATGAAGGAAACGATAGCAAAGATCAGTAAAACTAAAAGCTGGTTCTTTGAGAAGATAAACAAAATTGATAAGCCATTAGCCGGACTCATCAAGAAAAAAAGGGAGAAGACTCAAATCAACAGAATCAGAAATGAAAAAGGAGAAGGAACAACTGACACGGCAGAAATACAAAGGATCATCAGAGATTACTACAAGCAGCTATATGCCAATAAAATGGACAACCTGGAAGAAATGGACAAATTCTTAGAAATGCACAACCTGCCAAGACTGAATCAGGAAGAAATAGAAAATATGAACAGACCAATCACAAGCACTGAAATGCAAACTGTGATTAAAAGTCTTCCAACAAACAAAAGCCCAGGACCAGATGGCTTCACAGGCGAATTCTATCAAACATGTAGAGAAGAGCTAACACCTATCCTTCTCAAACTCTTCCAAAATATAGCAGAGGGAGGAACACTCCCAAACTCATTCTATGAGGCCACCATCACCCTGATGCCAAAACCAGACAAGGATGTCACAAAGAAAGAAAACTACAGGCCAGTATCACTGATAAACATAGATGCAAAAATCCTCAACAAAATACGAGCAAACAGAATCCAACAGCACATTAAAAGGATCACACACCATGATCAAGTGGGGTTTATTCCAGGAATGCAAGGATTCTTCAATATACGCAAATCAATCAACGTGATACACCATATTAACAAACTGAAGGAGAAAAACCATATGATCATTCTCAATAGATGCAGAGAAGGCTTTCGACAAAATTCAACACCCGTTTATGATAAAAACCCTGCAGAAAGCAGGCATAGAGGGAACTTTCCTCAACATAATAAAGGCTATATATGACAAACCCACAGCCAACATCGTCCTCAATGGTGAAAAACTGAAAGCATTTCCACTAAGATCAGGAATAAGACAAGGTTGCCCACTCTCACCACTTATTCAACATAGTTTTGGAAGTTTTAGCCACAGCAATCAGAGAAGAAGAGGAAATAAAAGGAATCCAAATTGCAAAAGAAGAAGTAAAGCTGTCACTGTTTGCAGATGACGTGATACTATACATAGAGAATCCCAAGGATGCTACCAGAAAACTACTAGAGCTAATCAATGAATTTGGTAAAGTAGCAGGATACAAAATTAATGCACAGAAATCTCTGGCATTCCTATATACTAATGATGAAAAATCTGAAAGTGAAATCAAGAAAACACTCCCATTTACCACTGCAACAAAAAGAATAAAATATCTAGGAATAAACCTACCTAAGGAGACAAAAGACCTGTATGCAGAAAATTATAAGACACTGATGAAAGAAATTAAAGAAGATACAAACAGATGGAGAGATATACCATGTTCTTGGATTGGAAGAATCAACATTGTGAAAATGACTCTACTACCCAAAGCAATCTACAGATTCAATGCAATCCCTTTCAAACTACCACTGGCATTTTTCACAGAACTAGAACAAAAAATTTCACAATTTGTATGGAAACACAAAAGACCCCGAATAGCCAAAGCAATCTTGAGAATGAAAAACAGAGCTGGAGGAATCAGGTTCCCTGACTTCAGACTATACTACGAAGCTACTGTAATCAAGACAGTATGGTACTGGCACAAAAACAGAAAGATAGATCAATGGAACACGATAGAAAGCCCAGAGATAAACCCACGCACCTATGGTCACCTAATCTTTGATAAAGGAGGCAGGGATGTACAGTGGAGAAAGGACAGCCTCTTCAATAAGTGGTGCTGGGAAAATTGGATAGGTACATGTAAAAGTATGAGATTAGATCACTCCCTAACACCATACACAAAAATAAGCTCAAAATGGATTAAAGACCTAAATGTAAGGCCAGAAACTATCAAACTCTTAGAGGAAAACATAGGCAGAACACTCTATGACATAAATCACAGCAAGATCCTTCTTGACCCATCTCCTAGAGTAATGGAGATAAAAACAAAAATAAACAAATGGGACCTAATGAAACTTCAAAGCTTTTGCACAGCAAAGGAAACCATAAACAAGACCAAAAGACAGCCCTCAGAATGGGAGAAAATATTTGCAAATGAATCAACTGACAAAGGATTAATCTCTAAAATTTACAGGCAGCTCATGCAGCTCAATAACAAAAAAATAAACAACCCAATCCAAAAATGGGCAGAAGACCTAAATAGACATTTCTCCAAAGAAGATATACAGACTGCCAACAAACACATGAAAGAATGCTCAACATCATTAATCATTAGAGAAATGCAAATCAAAACTACAATGAGATATCATCTCACACCAGTCAGAATGGCCATCATCAAAAAATCTAGAAACAATAAATGCTGGAGAGGGTGTGGAGAAAAGGGAACACTCTTGCACTGTTGGTGGGAATGTAAATTGATACAGGCACTGTGGAGAACAGTATGGAGGTTCCTTAAAAAACTACAAATTGAACTACCATATGACCCAGCAATCTCACGACTGGGCATATACTCTGAGACAACCATAATTCAAAAAGAGTCATGTACCAAAATGTTCATTGCAGCTCTATTTACAATAGCCCAGAGATGGAAACAACCTAAGTGTCCATCGTCGGATGAATGGATAAAGAAGATGTGGCACATATACACAATGGAATATTACTCAGCCATAAAAAGAAACGAAATTGAGCTATTTGTAATGAGGTAGATAGACCTAGAGTCTGTCATACAGAGTGAAGTAAGTCAGAAAGAGAAAGACAAATACCGTATGCTAACACATATATATGGAATTTAAGAAAAAGAAATGTCATGAAGAACCTAGGGGTAAGACAGGAATAAAGACACAGACCTACTAGAGAATGGACTTGAGGATATGGGGAGGGGGAAGGGTAAGCTGTAACAAAGCGCGAGAGAGGCATGGACATATATACACTACCAAACGTAAGGTAGACAGCTAGTGGGAAGCAGCCGCATGGCACAGGGAAACCGGCTCGGTTCTTTGTGGCTGTCTGGAGGGGTGGGATAGGGAGGGTGGGAGGGAGGGAGACAAAGAGGGAAGAGATATGGGAACATATATATATGTATAACTGACTCACTCTGTTATAAAGCAGAAACTAACACACCATTGTAAAGCAATTATACCCCAATAAAGATGTTAGGAGAAACTAACACACCATTGTAAAGCAATTATACTCCAATAAAGATGTTAAAAATTTAAATATATATATATATATATCTATATATTGCTCTAAATATCAAAATAAGACACTATGCTTCTCAAGGCAGCTTTTTAAAAATTTCTGCTTAAAAGAAATAAAAAAGCCATAAAAAGCCCAGTGTGCATTTTACTATCCATTATGATTACCGTGGATTAAGGTCTTTGTTTCTCTGGAAGTACTTTCCTATGAATACACTGGGAAACAACCATGAGCCTGACCTGACTGATCCACTCAGTCCCTGGGATGGAAGTGTCTTAAGCCAGTGAGGGAAATACAACCTACTGCATTAAAACATGTCACTACTGTCTTAGAAGTCAAAACTGAATGTGCGATATATACTCGCTACACACCAAAAATTATTAGATATTTATGACACTATTAGGAGAGTAGAAGGGTACTAAATTCTGCTGTATGAGACATGTTTAATTCCAGTGGAGCGTGGGGACAGGGTCTCCCCTCAGTCCTGCATAAGCTGATCGTCTGCTTCCAATCATAAGAAGTTTGAAGGCAACCTCTACCTTAGTCCCTGTAAATTTAACTTTGTGACAGAATCAAATGTTTATTTTTTTATCCTACCCAAAATAACGATTATATTTCATGATAAGGAAGAATTTCCTTAAAAATGAAGATCAAAATGGCCAAGGCAGAGGCTTATAAAATATCCTCAAGGTGTCCTATTCCAGTCCTTTTTGGGCGTTCTCAGCCCTTTACCACCTAACTCTACTCTATCCCTGCTAATATACTATAGCCCGGGCCATACTGTTCCTTCTTTACTACAAATTGAAAAACCATCTATCTTTCAAATCCTGTCCTGGAAAGAGTCTACGTCAGTATTTTCCAAAGTGTGAGACACATGCAGTAACACAGCTTGTCTTAGGGGTGGTACTCACTCAACTCACATTGCTGAGCTCCCTGCAGAGTCGGTATTTATTTTTACAGATATTTCCAATGTGTGACAAGTGATGTGACCACTACCACTGAGAGTAGTGATCAAACGCTTCTTTTTAGAAAACATTTATTTAAGGAAATAGGAAAAGAGGCAATTTAAAGACAAGTAGCAGGTAAGCAATAAAGAAGGGATATGGCACTAGCAAAAGTAAAAAGTACTGAGGCTTGGACCACGTTGATTGGTGCTATGCATAAAACATTTCGAAATTTGACTTACAAAGCTACAGAAGCAAATTATAAGATTACATGAAAATTTCATGAAATCATATGAAACGAATTACATGAAAATTCCTGCAGCAAATGCTAACTGGCTAAACTCGGAGTTTCTTTCACATCAGTAAAGGTAATATTTTAGAAAGTACTCTCATGCTTCTTTGGGATTATAGTGAAAACTCAAAGCCAAGTTAAGATAATCTTCTAAACATATCCATACTAAGTTATCATTCTAACACTGTTTAGAATAAAACTTGGTTTCTCAATATAAATATTTAGTCCACGGAAAGGAAAAGTCCGAAGAAATTTAAAGAGGAAAAATTACATAACCTACTGAACCCCAAATATTTATTTATACCTTCTACGAAAACAAATATACTGACTACAACAGTAACACAACCCTACTCTAATGAAGTGCTGGGGAGAAACGGCTAGGGTATATTTAGGCTTTTTCAGTTCTTAACAATCTCACGGGACGTGGAAAATGCAATCTGCCTTTAAAGAACACCACCCAAAAAAAAAAAAAAAAAAAAAAAAAAGGGAAAAAGGAAGAAGAAACCCACATGTTTGGTTTCAGAACACCAGGCCTTACCAGAGGCTGCTGGGGCTGCATGGTTTGGAGACCAAGGGTCTGACCCTGGGGCTGCGAGGACTGCTGAGGCTGCTGCATCTGGAAAGAAAGAAAAAGAATTATACATGTGAAAATAGGAGGTTGACGTCCGTCATTCCAGTTCCCTCTCCCCATACGCCTTTGATCTAATTAGTCTGCTCCCACAAGGATGACACACACCTGCCTCCTCCGTCTTTGTCTCCCCAAATAGATCGTTCCTCCTTCAAGGGCAAGACCTAAATCACCTCCATGTGCTTCCAGACTACTGCAACCCCAGGGATCTCTTCTTTGCTAGTCACAGTGTTCACAGTCTAAACCACCCTACACTGTCCAGGGACGTGCTTTGTACTCACTGTCTTAATTCATTTCATGCCATTTGCCCTTCCACGTATTTCATTCCACCTTAAGCTCTCAGGTGAGACAAGGACTGCTCGCCAGTTATCTTTTCGTTCCCTGTGGTACCCAGAGGAACTCCTGAATTTAGATTTTTTTTTTTTAAGGAAGAGGTAGATGTGAGAAGTTCTGGCCTAAATTACCAGCATAAAATCATAAATTGTGTCCGTGAACGCTGGCTCAAATACATGGCTCTTGGAAAACACTTGCAAGTCACAAAAGAAACACAGACTAGATGTCCACCAGGGGGAACATCACAGAGGAGAGGAAAATATTAAGAGGTGGTTTGTCTCAATGACCTTTGAAGTCTCCCCCACCCAAACGCTTCATCTCGAGGATGACAGCACCAGACTTCTTTTCAGCCTCTGTATTTTTCCAACTTGGTTTGCATACTGTCCCTCAAATTCTTTGTCTTCTTTAGGGCAAGGTGATCAGTAGTTATTGCCAGAAGGCATTTTTCACTAAGTGACAAGGGTCATGGATTTGGAATCCTAGCTGAGGTCTGGGCAGGCCACTCCCAACATGAACAATGCAAGTTGGACGAGAAACAAAGCGACTGCAGTAGGAAGCCAATTCTCCATTGGGCTCTCTGTGAACCCTTTCAGGAAAAGTCACCCCAACTTTGTAATTAGTAATCTGTTCCTTTACGGAGGTGGTCAGTCACCAAAAAAGGAGTAAGTATAATCCGGATGCAGAAGTAAATCATTTTCCCTTATCTCCCAGGAATGTGTTGGTAATGCAAAAATTATCAGAAGGACACACCATGTTAACTGGGATAAAAAGTACACATTAACCAATAAGGAAGGTTTTCAAAACTTGCAGCTTTAAAACAATGCTAGTGTAAGATAGGAAGCGGTAAATAAAAAAATAAGGTAATAACTTTCCTCAGTGATCTGGAAATGAGAAATTTTAAAACAGAGAGAAATATAAATATCAGTCCTAAAAAATTCTGAAACATATACTTAGCACTTGGGAAAAAAATTATTTTAAGAAAATATCACTATGAGTATTTATAGTCATAATAATGGTAATATTACCAAATGGGTGCTTCACTTGCATTTTCATATTTAATTTCCACTACACATTTAAGAGGTGGGCACTATAATTAGTTCCATCTTATTTATGACAAAATTAAGGACTAGAGGGTTTTTGACCACGCTGGAGGTTTTATATATGCAATGAGTGGGACTGGCCATCTACAGGTCACACTCCCTCCCAAACCAACTACCATATGTTGTTCAATTTTGTGATACAGTTCTTTCCACATTTTAACAGGCAAAAACTGGGATGCAATTCATGGCATCTTATAACTGTGAAGCCCAGTTTTGCTGAAGATTTGTGGTGGCTTTGGTCTGTCGAAGTGTTGGCACGGCCAACCAGAATTTTTTGGGTCACACTGAATTCAGACCTCAAACCCACTTGAGCTCATGGTTCAAATATTTTCTTCCCACCACCAGTGCCAAGGTTGAGACATGCAAGCTCCTTTGCTGTCCCTTTCTGCATGGCAGGTTTATTTCTCACTGACCTCATACAAAGAGTATAGCCCTTGGGTACCCCAGTTCTACTAGAGTTCCCATTCTTGGTGCTGCTTTCTTTTCCTTTCTTAGAAATACATAAAAGGACAGCGCATCTCAAGTTGGATTGTTGATGAGATTAGTGTCCACTGTACAGACTCATCAGGCAATTTCCAACCCAACAACACAGGATAAGCTTGCTAACAATAAAGGCAAATGGAACAGACAAACATAACAGCCCATGTTCCCTAAACAAGGGAGGGAGAAGCTGGAATGTGTTAAGGGGAGGAGCCCTTTATCTAGGAGACTCAAATATTTATGACAAATAAGTGAAGGACAGCTCTCTGGATTCTACCAGAGACAGGATGAAATATCCCTTTGAAGTATCCTACCTATGTAACTCCAACTTCACAGCCCAATCAGACTAGAGGTGTTAAAACAGAAAATTTTTTGGATTACAGACCCCTCTAGAAATCTGAACAAAAACTCTGGACGGCTCGACTGTTTCTAAAAAATACACATGTAAGAAATTTGGAACTCAAATTGCATGGCCTCTAGTTAAACAGTGACTGAGGAAGCTGAGGCTTACACTCGTAAGATAAAGGCATCCAGCTACCCTCCCGAACCTTTGTGAAAGGGCAAGGACGGTCTGCAAAATGTACTCTTCTGTCCACGACCTGGTAGATGCACAGAGAAAGGAAGACCCCTGCCGAACTGGAAATAAATTACCCCATTTAGGTCCCAGTGTCAAATACACAAGATTCCCTGGAATTTGGCAATTAAAGTCTGAAGTGTCTGTTATTTCTTATGACCGCTGAGGACCCCGCACACATTGCACTCACTCCCAGCTCCATACCTGGAGGAGCCTCTGCTGCTGTCGCACCTGTGGCTGTCTGGGCCTCACTGGGTCCTGAGACAGGGACACCGAGGGAAGGTTTGGATGCACGGAAGTCAGCACCGCATCCAGTCCTCCACCCACCAGAGGGCTCTGCTGAAGCGACTGATGATTCAGTCTGGTCAAGAATAAAGAACTTGTTTTCAGGCCCAAGCATACTGTCAAATGTTTATAATCAGTGCCACTGGCACATTGCACGCACTCACAAAGAAACCATCATGTTCAGTAATCACTATGTACAATTCAAATGCAATAAAGACCAGTGGTTAAGGTAACCTAGATTCCCAGGGACACATGGTATCACAGGTATTCAGACAGAAAACGGCACAGGTGGGATTTAAACCCAGAACTTCGGGGCTCTGAAGTTCAAGTTCTTAGGCAATATGCTATGCTGCCACTTATTAGACAAATAATAAACATGGTGCATGTTTTCCAAATTCATTTATTTTCCCAAATGTGTTACCAACGACCTTGCCAACTTTCCAAACAGTGATTACTTAGAGTTGGCCTGCAATCTTTGATGGTGACACACGGGAGTCCAGCTGCTGTCCACTGTAGTGCAGCAATCTGAATGAAACTGAGTTCTCCTAGACCAACGCCATCCAACAGAACTTTCTACTGTGACTGAAATGTCTCCACCTGTGCTGTCCAATAAGCTAGCCACTGGCCACCAGGACCAGCTGTATCATTTCTGGGTCTCAGTGCAAAACAAGAATGCAGGGCTCTCTGATCAAAAATCAGTAAGAATTTCAAGCGGGTGACAATAGAGCATTACAATCAACCATGCAGGTCTTCTAAACACAGTGCCCTATGTGACTGTGCAGGTCACACACCTTCGAAGCTGGCCCTGCTGGCCACATGTGGTTAATGAACACTTGAAATGTGACTAGCGTGACAGAGAACTGAGGAGCTTTAACTTAACTTTAATTAGTCTAAATTTAAATAGCCCACGTGGCTGGTAGCTGCTATAATGGACAGTGCCGTTATACACTATATACTACACCTACAAGATCCAATTTAAGCAAAAACGGAGTAAGAGTCTTTTCATGATCCGGTTTTGCCAGCCATTCCTGAGGTGGAAAAGGTAGAAACTAAGACATGTGACAAAAGTGTCATGGGCACTGTGCACAATGAGTACTGCAATCACAGGCTTTGTGGCTCCGGTCAACATATTCTAGTAAGGCACTGCTAAGGATAATCAACAATTTTTAATCTTAGATATTTATTGCCAAAAAACCTTTCCAAAAGAGGAGGAAGAAAAGAACATTGGAGCTAACATAGTGGTATCATTGAAAAATATTACACAAATACTATGGGAGATGTGAGTCAAACAATAAGGGACTTGAAAGGAATAAACAAGATGGGGCACTGCTTCTTTTGAACCACAATCTGGATGCTGCTGAAGATGAGATGACAGTGAAAATTATATGCAAATATGCAAGCTCATAGGAACAATTATAAAGCACCATGTCCTAGAAGAAGCACGGCAAAGGCGAGAATTTGAGTGTCCACCACTGCCATCACTATTTCCACACGCATCACCTCTGAGAGCCACTCAGGGGCTGCAGGTACGGCGACGCCTGCTGCTGAACGTAGCCACTCGGCGGCTGCTGCTGCATCTGTCTGAGTCTTTCCATTAGCGCCGGGCTGGAATGCGCAGCCGGATAGGTTCTGGAATTATAGGTAGGAGACAGGACCACGCTGCCAGCCTGCTGCTGAGGGGTCTGCTGCAAAGGCATCTGCGTTCCGTACATCGTATAGCCCTGGGGCATGGTCTGCAGGCAGAGGCACAAGGAAGGAAGTCAACGTTTTGATTTGCCCCCAGCTTTCCTATCGCTAAGATATCGAGGGGGCAAAAACAAAGCCAGGAGGAGCCCCCTGAAATTCGCTCTTCTCAAAGACTCTTTTTAACTCAAAGTACGAGGAAGATCACTCTGGAGGCAGAGAGAAAAGCCTGAAAGTAATAGAATGAGCTGTTTGTATAATGATTCACCAGAAATTTCAATTAAAGAGCAAAAAGGAATCCTCACTTGGTTAAGAGATCAGTTTTAAGCTCAGTTGCTTATTTTGAGGAAAGGAAGGGCAGGTTTCTGCACAGAAATAATCAGGCAAGCATCTCTACCTTTAGTGCACAGATGGCATCCATGTTCAACAGATCCCAAGCATCATTAATGTTGTTTCCAAAATTAACCAGAAGAGTTACTCATGCTCAATGTAAATTAAAATCATGGAGTACACTTTCCTTGTATGTAACTATGCTTCCTCGGATCTAATGAATTTGTCTGTAGTAACCAACCAGTTAACAAGAACAACAACAACAAAAACAATCAATTACCTTAACCAGAGAATAAGGGTGTCATTGGTGACTATTCAATAATCTCTAGTTCTGGTTGGACTGCAGCCTGTTTCAGCACTCTACCAATAATCGTTAATATATGAGTGGCTGATTCTCCAAATCTTGACACCCCATGTAAATGAAAAGCTTCAGGTTCTGCTGCGTCACTATCTACAATTTACAGAACAGAGTGCTGATTAAAATAGAAGAGGACTGCTCTTCAGGTCCTCAAAGTACCACATTTTAAGGTAGCTGAATGGCTCTGACTTGGAAGACAGAGGGATGGACGATGACCTTCCTGCAGGCAGCGTGCAGGGATGCAGGCTGTGTGGCTCGGTGCCTGTGAAGGCCAACCTTGCTTGGCCTTCCTTTCAGCTGTGGACACAATATGAACCGCTGGCCTAACTAGAGGCCTTGCCAACATCCCTGGCCTCCTGATTATGAGAGGGATAGAGTACAGGGATATGGAAGCAGAAATGACAAAACTATTAGAAAAAATAGCTCAAGATTTGCATCATATTAAGGCAAATCTATCATTTGCTGAATAACTACTGTGTATATGGTGCTTTGCTAGTTCCACAGGTTGTCTTAGGTCCCCACAATGTTCATCTCGATTTTACAGAGAAGGAAACCAAGACTCGGAGTAACTCGCACAATGTTACACAGCTTGTAGGTTGTCAGGAATTTTGTCAAGGTCTGATGCCAAGGCCGATTATCTTCTTATTCTACCATGATTTCTTTTTGAAGCTATCTTTGAATATCATAAATTCAATCAGGAATTACATCATTATACATTATAACATAAGTACCCTGGCTGGGACTGTCCACCATTTCAATATCTACCATCATCATTAATAGAAAGGTATGAATTGATAATTCTGATTCAAGAATTTCCTAAAATGTTTTATGCCCTTTAATCAATCCCAAGACTTGTTTAATAATCACTGGTAAAGCTTTTTTTTTTGAAACGTCAATTATAATCTATAAGCAGAAGTGACTAAGTTCTATACCCCATGAGGGAATTGATACCCTACTTACCTAGTTCCCCCCTTCAAATAAAGAGCATTAAAAATCCCAGCAGCACCTACAAAGCAAACATGGGTACCTGTGCTTGCTGCAGACCTGGATACTGGGGGAGCTGAGGGGAGGGCCGTGCTTGAGCAGCAAAGAGAGCAGCCTGGTCCCCCGGCTGGCCCTGGAAGACAAAGCCGAGGCGGCTCTTGATCATAACAGCAAGGGCATGATCCGAGCTCCTGGTTAATTACCCCCAGAACCCCTGACACCCCACCCTATGTGAGTACAACACTTGCAGAGTCCAACCTGCATTGAATACTATTTCTCATCAATTTCCTATTAACAGTAGAGATTGCTGCACTTATCATTTCTTCCAAAGAAGACTACAGATGTCCCCAGTGATAACACATACATAAACACAAGCCAAAATAATCAATGGTCTGCTCATCAGAGAGGCTCTGAGCCAGCTTTCCTGTACACTCCAGGGTACAAGTGTCCCTCTAGAGTAAAAGGCACGAGTCTCTAAGTGTGAAATCTGAAACCACAGAGTTGCCTCATCCTGTGCCCATAAAGTAAGAGAACACGTGGTACACGCAGATGGCATATACTACCTTCATGACTTTTTAATGTTTCTTCAGAGGGACCTAAAAATTGCCTATTTAGCCAGGTATGCAAGGGATGAATTTGGGATCTCTTATGACTCTAATAATCAATATAATCAATTAAAATGTATAATAAGTTAATATCAAATACAGTTCTAACCAACTACAATGGAAAATAAAACCAATTAACATCTGTTCACCAGTCTTAATTTAACACATGTTTCGGCCTGAGGAAAAATAAATATATTCCTAAGAACAGCTGTATGTATTTCACATTTTGGCGGCAGAACCTATTTCACGGAAGCTTGCGGTATTAATCACAGAAGGAGGCCAAGCTTCCGACCACCCCTTGATTTTTTCAGGACTCACTAATAACAAAGAAATGGGATTTATTCTAGGATATTTCACCACTGTTTTATATCACAGATGTCCTCGTTTTTTTAAAGTGCTAAAATACAGTTATATTAAAAACCAATTTTAATGCTCTGGGAAAGTAGTACAGATATTTCTGGCAGGGAGAAAGGTATAAACATTTAGCTTAAGAGGGAGAACACCAACAATTATTAAGCATCTATTATGTGCCAGGGACTGGGCTTCTTGTTCTTATTCCCATTTTCTCACAGGAACTCTGCAGGGAGGGGACATCATCCCCATTTTCTTCAGGTAGGAAAAGCCAGGCTCAAAGAGCCTAGGTAGCTTAGCGAGCTCAAGGATGAAAATATTTAAAATTTCATTTGGTGCTTATTCTTTAGGGACATAGAGCCTTGTAAACTCACCCCAATAAGAAACCAAAAGGAGACTCTTTATTAATAAAGACTTGTTAATGAGATTTTGAAATGAAACGTACACATCAGACGGTGAAGCCTTTTCTCTGATCCCCACATAAAATCACTGAGGGCATTTAAGAAACTTCGGCCTCTCCGAAGGTGGCTATCCACCCATACGTGGACCAAACACAAATTTCTGGGAGCATCTACTATGGTATCTATATGTAACAGCTTCAACAAGAATCTAACTTTCCACCGTAGGGTACCATGAAGATACTCTGAGCCTTTAGCTGATTAATCTAAGTGCAATTATATCCCTATTTGCTTAAGTCTAAGAAAAATAGCCCAAACTCCCTCTAGGAGAGCTCATGCCATGGGAGTGTGGCTATCTGGAGCCTACAAGTGTTGCCCCAAAGTATCCAAATGGCCCTTGATCCTCCAAACACTAAGCCAGGGAGTCATTAAATCAACCAGATCTTTACATGCTGCTCCTCGACTTGGTGCTCCCCGACAGCATTGTCCAAGGTCCCTGAAACATATACTGCTGTGCCTCTTGGTGGGGATAAATATATGTATATTATCATTTTTACAGAAGAAAAGAAAAATGAATTATTTCTGTGAGTTAGAATCTTGAGATCCCTAAGTAGTCTAAAACACCCACGCCCTTTTTTGCCTTGGAGGGAAACAAGATGTGATGTGCGTGTGACAGAGGCATGAGGATACATAAAACCGATCTTTTTTAACTCTTTACTCTTCCTTTGCTTGTTGGAGAACCTTAGGAAACAAACTATGACTTATATGTGGTGGATCTGAGTTACTGGGCAACACTTTTTATTGACAAAGAACAGTTGAGATTTTGGAAATTTAAGAAATACGAATTAAAAAACATCTACATTTTTAAAAATCACAAAATTAACATTCAAGGAAAAACACTATAACTCTGGAAAAAAAGCAAGAAGAAAGGGGTGAAAAATTTCAAATCAGTTTTACACTCTAAAATTCATGTACTCTTCAGTGAACCATTTTTAGTCTCAAGGTAAACTATTTATTTGTAAATAGACTATATTCCCTCCCATCGCCATACCCCCCCCGCCCCAACTCGCTACTTAAGTACAGTAGGTAAGGGTTCTAACATTCAATACCCTCCCTGAGGAAATCACAAACACCTCACGTTGGCCAGCAGCGCTCGGCAAGGGCTTGTATCGTCATATTTGCCCTGAATGAAAAATATCCATCTCTTCTCCCAAACCGAAATGACCTCCTCCTGCTCTCTGGTTTTCCCAGAATAATGCCAGGAACGAATTATTTCAATTTGTAGAAATAGCTCAATCTGTTGAGTAAAGAATGAATGACCAAGAAGTTCTTTAGTAACTTGAAAGATTTTACAGATGCTAAACGAGGACCATAATGCGGGAACAGGTAAGAAAAGTAAAAATTGAAATTTAGTAAGAGTCTTAAAATGTTAGTAGGGATGGTTTTGCTGCATTCAAGAAGGGACTATATAATGTATCATCCGAACTGGGACAGGCCAGGAGAACGGGGTGGGCGGGGTGGGGCAAAGTGAGACCATGCCTGGCAAATTGTGACTTATGGTCACCTGCGTCATACATAATCTACTTATCTGTTATTTTCTGAAAACTACCTAAGCTTTATTTGACTTTTTTTTTTTTTAATCAGTTCCTAGCACTGTGTCTGGCATATAGTAAGTGCTATATAAATATCTATTGAGGAAACCTAAGGTCTAAGATTTAATTTAGTTTATCTGTTAAACAAGAGTTCCAGAGGTAATATTTCAGGATAAATTAGTTTACCAAGTGCTTTCCAATTGCCCCATATTTTTAAGTACCATCTTTTGTTTTGAAAACTCACTTTTTAATTTAATTTTTAGCACCTGTCATTCTAATGATTTCTTCTTTCTGCCTTCATTAATACCTGGAGAGTAGCTCAATTGCCCCTCTTGATTTATTCTGCTTAACTGCAACAATCAGAGGCAACATTAACTTCACACTTTTGTGGTTGTAAAGGAGGCTGGTTTCTGAGGGAATATCTGTGTCTAGCCAGGGGCCACATTGTGCTCCGGCTCCAGCTCCCCTGGCTCAGGTACCCAACTTACACGTGAGCCACAGTTAACTGGGAAATTCTGATAGCTACATGAACCCATCTCTACATTGCTACCCAGGGTAAATTCCTACATGTGGTCTCTCTCGTTTGTTTTTATACACTTTGCTTCAGGCTTGCCTCTGGGTAAGAAACAGAAATCTATTATACTTTCTAAAATTTCCACTTTCTAAAAACTTTTTAAAAAGCTGTGCTGTTCCATACTGACTCATCTTCCTGGTCTTTATAAGAACAATTCTCTCTCTTACTGCTTTATTTTTAATTAGACAAGAGAAGCATCTGAGCTCAAAGAGATGTAGACTCAAAACCTCTTGCATAATTGGAAATGAATACATCCAGTAAGTTAAAAAAAAAGTTTGATAAATCATCCTCAAAGATAATTTTCAATCTTCTGGGTCTTGTTCTCTTCATTAGTTCACTCTCTCAGTCAACTGAGAACATGTGAGGGTCTCTTCCTAAAGGAGAATTGGTTATAGCTCCAATTAGCAGACAGTTACAATCAGCAGCATTTCAGAATCAGGGATCTTCTATCCACTCAATTCACTAGTAATGATTTTTTTTCAAATCCTTATTTAGTAACTTTCCAATAGTGTTTAAGGGTTGCAAGTAGAGAGACAAGTTGTGCCTGAAAAACCACAGCCAGATTTTGTGACTCTGTTTCTGAAATTGCTGATTTAGGAATAATAATAAAAGTCACCCAATGAAAACCAGTGGGTAATGTTTTATGAGTCAACTAGCAAAAAGGGTTTTTGCTTGTGACTACTGGTTTGGAAGGTACCGGGTAATGGTGCCCAAGGTTAAACAACAAATGGCGTGAACCCCAAGTTTTGGTCGTCACATTATACCGGTGTATTTTGATTGCAGACAATAGATACACAGAAAATTCTATAATCAAAAGAGGTCCTGTTGACCAGTTATGCTTAATTCTTTTATAAAGCTTTCCATCAAATATAACTTGGTTGGCAATCGATGAACAGTAACATTAACTGCTGGAACAACCTGATTCATTTTGAAATAAACACACACCTCATACAATAATGAACCTTTACAATATATTCTGTTAACACGCCCATAAAGGAGGAATATAACATATGGATTGGTTGAGTATACATACACGTTCATTAAATTCCTGATATTGGAGAATATTAAAGAAAAATAAGAATGGTGAAAAGGACAGCAAAGATATATATACACATTTCCATTTATTTGAATGAATATATAGTTCATATAACCTTTTGACTTTAAATACCTGATGAACAAAATATTTTGTCTATTTTTTTAAAAAGTAAAATCAATGGTAGATGCAAATTGTATTCTGTTCAAATTACATTATCATCTGAACAATAAATGCCCTACAGCAAACATAAGCTACCTGAAAGATATTTTAAAATTTGATGGTTAAATTCAAGTTTTTAAAAAAACAAAAACCTCGCCTGCTTTCTGTACAAGTGTCAAGAAAAACTGATAGAAAAATTGATTGCTTTCAGAAAAGTCTCCAAACTTTCCTTTGTTGAAAGAACTAACTATTAAAGAAATTGCCTATATGACAGTATTTCATAACTGAGATATTTTCAAAGCTTGTATATGCCATTAAGGTTATTTTCACCAATGTATAGAAAATGTTACCCATTAAATTGGCAGTGAAACGAGTTGACTTACATTCACATCTGAGATGTGTGCTCTTTTTTATTCTA